AAAAGGCCCCCCCGTGTCTATTTTTTTTAAATGGGGGGGGGGGGGGGGTTGAGGAGAGGCACCAGCAGCTATGCTGCAAATTTGGTGCCTGTACCTAAAAAAGCACAGCCACCCAGAGCTCCAAATACCCTCATATTGATTCTTCATTATACCGTATGAGGACAGTCCCCATAGAGTATGATGGAGTCAAACAAATTCGGGTTTCCAGAATATTTATCTGATTACCAATACAATACCAATTTATCTGATTACCAATACAATACCAATTCAAGAATATTCAGAATACCAATATTTTTTGGGTCCAATAGACCTGCATAGGGGGAAAAAGGGTTTGGGTTTTTTTTGCACACCCCTTGCTCGAAAGCCAGTCAAATCCGACTCTAGGGTTGCGGTGCTCATCTCCGTTTCAAAGCCGAAGAGCCAGCACTGTCCGAAGACGTTTCCGTGGTCATGTTGCTGGCATGACTAAACACTGAGGCACACGGAACACTGTTACCTTCCCACCGAAGTGGTACCTATTTATCTACTTGCAATTTCTTGCTTTCGAACTGCTAGGTTGGCAGGAGCTGGAACTAGAGATGGGAGCTCACTCCGTCATGCGGCACCCTGGGTCTTGAACTGCTGAACTACTGACCTTCCACAGCCTGCAGTTCAGCGTCTTAACCACTTGAGCCACCGCAGCTCCTACACCCCTAGACCCAGGTTCAAATCTTCAATCATGCCATGGAAGCTCACTGGGTGACCTTGGGCCAGTCACACATTCTCAGCCTAACCTGCTTCACAGGGTTATTGTGAGGATAAAATAGAAGGCAGGAGAAAGATGCGAGCTGCTTTGGGTCCCCATTGTAGAGAGAGACGGTGTATAAATGAATTAAATAAATAATATCTTGTAGGCCCCCCTGAGCCTGAGGATGGGTAGGATAAAAATGTAATATGTAGATCTATTCATGTTTTGTGTGGGTCTAGGATCTGCTTTATAAACAATATCAATGCTGGTAGCCCAAACAATATCAGAACTAATCTCTGTTCTGTGCCCTCATTAGGTTCTCCTCATTGAGAAATAACAAGCTTTAACAGATGGTGTGAGGCAGTAAGAAAGCGGCAGGAAATGATGACCATTTCAGGTGGAGAATAGACCACAAGGGAAATGTGTGCATCAAGGTTTCTGGAGTAGGAAATAAAAGAGTTCATAAGCAAATGAAAGAATCCACGCAAAGATGAGAAAACTCAAGTATTCAGTGCCCATGGGCCCCCTGGTGCTGCCACCATCTTATCTGGTGATCCCCCCCAAGTGCTTTTAGAAAGTGGGTAGAGCTAGGAGAGCTTTTGCCCCGCAAGGCTTCTGATTGGCTGTTCAGAGTAAATGGCATCCTGTGAAACAGAGCTTCTGCCTGAATCATTGAACCTCGATCCCCAATGTTTTGTGGCTGGCTCCTCCTCCTGCAGTAGACATTTTGTGATTGGCTCCCCTACTGCAGCAGCCATTTGGTGATTGTGCCCACTGCCCTGTGTCAGAATTCCTAAGGTGTCTGCTGGTTTGAAACGTTTGGGAACCCCTGAGTTAGTGCTGAAGAAAGATATTTTAGAAACCAGGTGGGACAGGACTGTGGGTGTGGAGGGTTGGCTCTGTATATTAAAAGGTAAAGGTAAAGGTTTCCCTTGCTCGAAAGCCAGTCGAATCCGACTCTAGGGTTGCGGTGCTCATCTCCGTTTCAAAGCCGAAGAGCCAGCGCTGTCCGAAGACGTTTCCGTGGTCATGTGGCCGGCATGACTAGACACCAAGGCGCACGGAACGCTGTATATTAGCCCTCTACAAATGTTACATTCACAATTACTAGGATCCTGCCACAGTACATCTGGGGAGTGTGCTATTCCAGCAAGGTATCCAGTCACCATACTGTGGGAATTGGGCAATGCATAGGCTTGGCAGGCCTGGCCTGGCAACCGGTGGGAGACCGATAGGGCCGGACCATGAGGGAAGTTCAACTGTCAGCTTGATATTACTGTTGGGTAAACCCACAAATGATGTGATACCTCTCTAGGCTGAAACTGGCTGAAACTCTATGGTAAAACCATAGAGGTTGGGTTGTTGTTGTTTTTTGGTTGATTCCTAGAGAGGACTGACATCACTACCAGGTTTACTTGGAAGTGATGTCACGCTGTTTGCAGATGGCCATTTTATTATTTTATTGTTCTCCTGCCCCCACTCAGTGTGGCAGAGGGAAACATCACCTGGGGGACTGGCAACTCTAGCAATGCATGAGCATTCCACGTTTGTATTTTCTTTAAATATACTAGAAGCAGGAAAGTGGCCGGAGAAGCCATGTGGCTCTAGGATAAAACCTTCATGGAAACAGAGGCCTAAACTGTCAGAAAACTATTGCTGGGAGGGGGGTACGGGCTCTACTGGTAGCAGGAGCTCCTTTGCATATTAGGCCACACACCCCTAGTGTAGCCAATCCTCCAAGAGCTTACAGAGCTCTTCTTACTGGGGCTACTGTAAGCTCTTGGAGGATTGGCTACACTAGGGGTGTGTGGCCTAATATGCAAAGGAGCTCCTGCTACCAGTAGAGCCCCCGCCCCGGGTCAAAAAGATTGGGAGGCCTAGGCCTTTGTGGCCTTTCTGCATTCCTTATTTGACCACTGTGCAAAACAAGACGTTGGATGAGATGGTTCCTGGATTTGATCCAGCACCACTGATCTTATGGTAAACCAGAAAAAGATAAAGAAAAAAAATGGGGGGGGGGAGGGAACTCAACCCAACAAAATGGAATACAGAACCGCAAAGGTAAGTTAGAAAAACAAATAAGGGGCCAATAGTTAAGACTTAAATATAGAATAACTACAAGTAAAAATACTTGTATTTGTCACAGAGACTTTTAAAAACATTCAAGGGCCCAAATGAAGCCTCATGGCAGGGCTATTTTTGGGCAGGAACACACAGGAACGGAGTTTTGGCTGGCTCCCAAGTTGGCCACACCCAGCAGGACCTCATTAGCATAATAGGCCACACCCAACAGCAGAAACTCATTAGGATTGTTTACATTAGGGGTGTGTGGCTTAACATGCAAAGGAGTTCCTGCTACAAAAAAGGCCCTGGGTTTTGACAACAAACAAGGTAAACAGAATAAGAAGCAAAAGGTGGGTGTGGCTAGATGAGCACACTTCTGGTAACACAGGGGTGTGGCCTCATATGCTAATGAGCTGTGCAGTCAGGGGTGTGGCCTAATTTGCTAATGAGTTTCTGCTGTTGGGTGTGGCCTATTATGCTAATGAGTTCCTGCTGGGCTTTTTCTACAAAAAGAGCCCTGGATAGAAGTGACATATGCACAAGAGGAAACACTTATGACCGAACGCGTTTCGGCCCAGTAGGGCCTTATTAAGATGTCAGACATGAAGAGGGACACACAGGCTGCTGTTACAATCAAATGGTCGTTAACAGATTGATGTAGGACCAAAAAAGGAATTTCCCAATATGGAATCAAATATATGTGAGAAAAATATTACTTGTGACACCTCCTTGAAACTAGCCTTGTGTCAATTATAGATGCACACTGGTTCTGATTAGGCGGTTCCACCTGTACTTTCTGGACCAAAATTGGAAGGCACACACATGCAACACTACTCAGCTTGTAGGCATTTGTAATTTTTGTTCCTATATCAACCTTCTGGGCCAACGGAAAACAACTCTGCACCATCCTCTCTATGACAACCCTTCAGATACTTGAAGATGGTGATCCTATCACCTCTCAGTCGTTTGCTCTCCAGGCTAAACATACCCAGCTCCTTCAGCCTTTCCCCAAAGGATTTGGTCTCCAGACCCCTCACCTTCTTCGTTGCCCTCTTCAGGACATGTTCCAGCTTGTCTATATCCTTCTTAAAGTGTGGTGCCCAAAACTGAGCTCAAAACTCCAGGTGAGGTCTAACCGGAGCAGAGTAAAACGATACCATCACTTCGTATGATCTGGACACTATACTTCTGTTGATAGCAGCCCAAGATTGCATTTGCCTTTTTCGCTACCGCATCACACTGCTGACTCATGTTCAGTGTATGGTCTACTAAGACCCCTAGATCCTTTTCGCACATGCTACTGCCAGGACAAGTCTCCCCCATCCTATAATTATGCATTTGATTTTTTTTCCTACCTAAGTGCAGAACTTGACATTTATCCCAATTTAAATTCATTCTATTTGTTTTAGCCCAATTTTCTATCCTGTCACAATCATCTCGTATCCTGACATGTCGTGATCATGCTGGACCTACCCATTAAATCTTCTGGATTGGGGTCAATCTCTGATAGTTCACAGAGTTCGTAGAACAAGAGGAAATTACTGTCAGAACCAGGAGGTACAGCTAGAAAGAAACAATATATATTTTTAGAAGAATTGCACAGTGGCTACTCCTATCAAGCCACACGTCTCAGGTTGCCAATTATAGGATTACATGAAAAAGACTTCTGTAATGGAAGTGGTTCTCTTGAATTGCTCACTTCAGGTTGCAGGAGAAGGAAGTGGTACAGCCCTGAAAAGATGGAATGGGTGGGGTTGCCAGTGACATAGCTGAGACACAAAGCTAGTCCTCCCCTGCTGCCAGTAAGGATGATTCCACACTAGACCTTAAATCCTGGTTCAACCCTGTCCCCCAACTTACATTCTACGCTACACTCAAGTTCACCCCTGTAATTATCTCGGGGTATTTTTACATTCTACACTACACTCGAGTTCACCCCTGTAATAATCTCGGGGTATTTTTACATTCTACACTACACTCGAGTTCACCCCTGTAATCATCTCAGAGTATTTTTACATTCTACGCTACACTCGAGTTCACCCCTGTAATCATCTCGGGGTATTTTTACATTCTACGCTACACTCGAGTTCACCCCTGTAATAATCTCGGGGTATTTTTACATTCTACACTACACTCGAGTTCACCCCTGTAATTATCTTGGGGTATTTTTACATTCTACGCTACACTCGAGTTCACCCCTGTAATCATCTCGGGGTATTTTTACATTCTACGCTACACTCGAGTTCACCCCTGTAATAATCTCGGGGTATTTTTACATTCTACACTACACTCGAGTTCACCCCTGTAATCATCTCAAGGTATTTTTACATTCTACACTACACTCGAGTTCACCCCTGTAATCATCTCGGGGTATTTTTACATTCTACGCTACACTCGAGTTCACCCCTATAATTATCTCGGGGTATTTTTACATTCTACACTACACTCGAGTTCACCCCTGTAATTATCTTGGGGTATTTTTACATTCTACACTACACTCGAGTTCACCTCTGTAATTATCTCAGAGTTTTGTTTCCAGATTACATTGAGGTCACCCTGGTTTCACTCCACACTTGTCCTGGGATAAACGGATGCTGTTGGTCCTTTCCGCACTTGGATCTCATCCCTGGTTTTATCAGAGTTCAACTTGCAACACAATACCTTGCATTTATCCCTGGTTATCACAGCATCCACTTATCCAGGGACAAGTGTGGGGTGAAACCGGAGTGTCCTCAAAGTAATGTGGAAACAAAAAAATACCCCAAGATAATTACAGGGGTGAACTCGAGTGTAGTGTAGAATGTAAAAATACTCCGAGATAATTACAGGGGTGAACTCGAGTGTAGTGTAGGATGTAAGTTCAGGGACAGGGTTGAACCAGGATTTAAGGTCTCGTGCGGAAAGGACTGCTATAACCAAGGATAATTGCAAGGTATCGTGTAGCGAGGGGAACTCTGACAAAACCAGGGATGGGATCCAAGTGCAGAAAGGGCCGAAGTCCCTCTGCCAGCCAGCTGATCATCATCAGCTGTCCATTTCCGCAAAATAACTTTCTGTGAAAGGGACAGGACCTCCCCTTCCCCCCGACCGGTTGGCAGCCACAGCAATCTGAAATGGTGCCAACTGTTCTCCTCTGCCCCCGTGTTCTTACTTCCTTCTAATGCATGCTCAAGCAAGGACATTTTCTTTCCCAACTTGGTGGGAGTCCAATCCGGTTTTGCAAATGGGCCTTGAAGCCAGGGTAAGCACCACACAGCGATTAAAGATCAAAAAGGATCTCTTCTGCGATGCCTGCTGGCTGTTTGGCTCACCTCTTTGTCTGGCTGGTCGCTCGCACAGTAGTCACGGTGAGCTGGATACCGTGCCAAACCACTCTTAAGCTCTGGCTTTGAACCTTCACTTACCTTTTCAAGTCATGCCATTTTGTGAAATCATTATGTCGTCCCTCCCACCAGCTCCATTTTATTCCCATCAATTTTCTGCTAGGAAGCACGCCCTCTCTAAAATCATAAAATAGAATCATAAGGCGATACTGCATTGGGTTTTCCCTCCGTTGTTTTACCAAAGGTACAGCTCAAAACCACATTCAAATACCCTGGGGCAATGCCGTACTGACTGTGAAGTCAGACGTCCATCAGTGGCTATGAGCCACAAGGTAAAGACAGGAACTCTTGGGCTGGGGCAAGTGATGCTCTGTCTTCTTGGTGTCGGGGGCACAACAGTGGGAGGGCTTCTAGTGTCCTGGCCCCACTGCTGGACCTCCTGATGGCACCTGGTATTTTTGGCCACTGTGTGACACAGAGTGTTGGACTAGATGAGCCATTGGCCTGACCCAACATTGGCTTCTCTTATGTTCTTATGTTCACCCCTGAACAGCCATAAATCTATGCAGAAGGTACCCTAAAACCCAAGTGTCAAAGAAAGTGAAAGTGGCATGCGGTGCAGAGGGTACCATAAAATCCGATGATGAAAGAAAGTGAAAGCAGCACGCAATGCAGAGGGGAATTTCTGTTCCAATGTGGGTTTCCTAAAAAAACGGAGGGAAAAGCCCACGCGGAATCGCCCAGAGCAGAGAAAATGTGGAGCGAATGCTAGATGCAGAATCGCACTCTGTCCTTCAGAGAACCCAAAAGGTAAGGGCCTGAAGGTAAGATATATCCAGTCACACTACTAATCGCTCATAGAGGTGGAAGGGATCACAAGGGTCATCTAGTCCAGCCCCTTGCGCAATGCAGGAAATTCACAAATACCTTTCCCCCCAGCCACCTCAAGCGACCCCTGCTCCATACCCTGAAGATGACAAAAAACCTCCAGGATCCCCGGGCAAACGGGCCTGAAGATAGGGTTGCCAAATCGACTTACCTCGATGGCGGGGGACTCTAGGGTGGTTCCCGGAGCGCGCATGGAGCGCAGGCACGCCGCATGCACGTCACAGGCAAGTGACATCATGACGCCGGGCACGCTGGGGGCGGGGCCACAGCCATTTGAGGGGGGAACATAGAGTTTGCATGCGGGGGTGGGGTTTCCCCCGGGGCCCAATTCCGCGGGGGCGGAAATCGGGCCTCCAAAGCGGGGGGAAATCCGCCCCCCGGGGGGAATTGGCAGCCCTACCTGGAGAAAAATTGCTTCCTGCCCAGGCCTGTAGCCAGCATTTTTAAATTTGGGGGGGGGCTTTAAATGTCAGGGGGCACCCCCCACACTCCTGCACACCCCAAGGAGCACCTGGGCTGGATGGGAAGTCGGGGGGGGGCCTTGGCGGTAAGTCAGGGGGTCGGGCCCCGAGATGCCCCACTGTGGCTACAGGCCTGTTCCTGACCTCTCTATTGTCCCCTAGCTTCTTTTGCAAATGTATTCCTTTTTTTTTTAAGTCCCATCTTTCAGCTTCATATATTATCAGAAGAGAAGAAGAGGAAGAGAAGAGATTGGTTTTATACCCCGCCCTTCACTACCCAAAGGTGTCTCACAGGAAGTGGTGGCAGCTACAAGCATGGACGGCTTCAAAAGGGAATTAGATAAGCATATGGAGCAGAGGTCCATCCGTGGCTATTAGCCACAAGGTATAGATAGGGGCTCTGGGGCAAGTGATACTCTGTCTTCTTGGTGCTTGGGGGGGGGTCAACAGTGGGAGGGCTTCTAATGTCCTGGCCTCACTGGTGGACCTCCTGATGGCACTGGTATTTCTAGCCACTGTGTGACACAGGTTGTTGGACTGGATGGGCCTTTGGCCTGATCCAACTTTGGCGTCTCTTATGTTCTTTTGTTCTTCTGTCTCAGAGCGGCTTACAAACTCCTTTCCCTCCCCCTCCCCGCAACAGACACCCTGTGAGGGAGGTGGGGCTGAGAGAGCTCTTGACAGAAACTGCTCTTTTTCAAGGACAGCTCTTGTCAGAACTATGGCTTGCCCAAGGTCATCCAGCAGGTGCACGTGGAGGAGTGGGGAATCAAACCCGGTTCTCCCAGATTAGAGTCCGCGCACTTAACCACTACACCGAACTGGCTATCAGGGCATCTAAGGGCAAATAAACGATCTACCACAGAAGCTTGATAAATGCAAGGTATTGCATCTCGAGTTGAACTCTGATAAAACCATGGATGAGATCCAAGTGCGGAAAGGATCTCTGTTCAAACGGTTCTTTTAACACGGTTTTAATTGTTTGATATTAATCGATGTAAACCGCCCTGAGCCTGTTTACGGGGAGGGCGGGATATAAATAAACAAATAACACGGACTGAGTCTGAACCACTACTGAACATCGACAAATCCCCAAAATGGGGCCCTGCACAAATACAGGAGACAGGTGGGGGCGGGGCTGCAATACAGGGGAATCCCATCTCCACCCCTGCCACCGAGCCCACTGTGGCTCTAAGCCCCACCACCCATCTTAGAGCTGGTGTTGGCAAGCATTGATGTCTGGGGGAGTCACTCGGAGCCCGAAGGTACTCCCAGAGTCATCGGCCATTGCAGTTGGGCCTGGAGCAGCTCCCAGAGTCTGCTGTTGCTGGGCCCAGAGTGGATCTCTGCAGCGGCTGTCACCAGCTTTTCCAGTTAGGTATTTGTGAATGTCCTCCATGGTGCAGGGGGTTGGACTAGATGACCCTGGAGGTCCCATCCAACTCTATGATTCTGTGATTCCACATGCACAATGTTTTTTTGAGGGGGATTTTAAACACTTGTTTAAACCTAACAGTTTTTTATTTTTATTTTTTGCAAACCTGGGGAGTCCCTGAAGTTTGCAGAAAAATCTGTTTAGTGTCGGTGTGGCTCTGATCCATGGATTTAGGTATCCATAGATTGGGGGGGGGGGCATTATTAGACATACACATGTTTCTGCAAACCAGTTGGAGCCCTCGGATTTTAGGAAAACTCTGGTTGTTCTTTTTAAAGGTGAAGGAAATTTAAAAAAAAACACTCGTAACCTTAAGGGGAAAAAAAAACAAGAATTTGTGATTCTACATTAGATTCTCTCAGCTGCCATTCGGGGGGGGGGTCATCTAGCAATCTGAGGGAATAAGAAGGAGAGAGGGGTGAGAAGACAGGGGCTAGGGCAGGGGTCATTTCCTGCGGGAGCGCACAGGAGCGGAGCTCCAGCAGTAAGGAGCCCAGGGGGTGGGCACATGCAACAAGCCCCGCCCCCTGCTCCCAGCAGCCCTCAGTCGGGCCACAAGGAGCAAGAAGCAGCCATGTAAGTTGCAGAGCCTTTAAGACCAAGTTTTATTCAGGTACAAGCTCTCCCTCCTCTGTGAGGGCAGATCTGCACGTCCCCCCCCCAATTGCTAGCAACCCAAAACTGTCCAGTGGAGCCTGAGCGGTGGGTGTTGCCTTCTGACACACTTCCGGTGATGTCAGGGGGTGTGGCATATGCAAATAAATTATGCTAACAAGTTATGCTAATGAGTTCCTGCACCTCTTTTTCTACGAAATGACCCCTGGGCTAGGGCATATAGAAAGGAGGAGGGGTTGACGAAGGAGAAGGAGAAGAAGAAGAGGAGGGGGAGGAGGAGGAGGAGATTGGATCTATGTTCCACCCTTCACTCGGAGTCTCAGAGCGGCTTACAATCTCTTTTCCCTCCCCCTCCCCACAGCAGTCACCCTGTGAGGTAGGCAGGGCTGAGAGAGCTCTGAGCGAACTGTCCTTGAACAGCTCTGATAGAACCATGGCTTGCCCAAGGTCATCCAGCAGCTGTGTGTGGAGGAATGGGGAATCAAACCCGGCTCTCCCAGATTAGAGTCCACACACTAAGCACTATACCAAACTGGCTACCCCAAAAGGTGGGAGGAAGAAAGAGGAGGACATGGTGATCAGGCTCAGGAGTAGGGTTGCCAGCTCCGGGTTGGGAAATACCCGGAGATTTTGGGGCAGAGCCTGAGGAAGGTGGGGTTTGAGGAGGGGAGGGGCTTCAGTGGGGTGCAATGTCACAGAGTCCACCTGCTGGAGTTCTTGCCCTGTTTCAGTTGCCACCTTGTTCTGTTTGTTTTAAGCCGGGCTTCGATTAGACGTTTACTGCTTCTATCTTTTACGTGTTGCGAGCTTGATATATGCTTGATAAAAATTTTTTTAAGAAAACAATCCCATAAGCCGAGCCTTGTCTCGGCTTCTGCCTCTAGGGATGCCAGCCTCCAGATGGTGCCTGGAGATATCCCGGGATTACCTTTGGGTAGTGAAGGGCAGGGTATAAATCCAATCTCCTCCTCCTCCTCCTCCTCCTCTTCCAGTTTGGTGCAGTGGTTAAGTGCGCGGACGCTAATCTGGGAGAACCGGGTTTGATTCCCCACTCCTCCACTTGCACCTGCTGATGTGACCTTGGGTCAGTCACAAGCTCTGGCACAGCTGTCCTTGAAAAAGCCGTTTGTGTCAGAGCTCTCTCAGCCCCACCCACCTCACAGGGTGTCTGTTGTGGGGAGGGGAAGGGAAAGGAGTTTGTAAGCCGCTCTGAGACGCCTTTGGGTAGTGAAGGGCGGGGTATAAATCCAATCTCTTCTTCTTCTTCTTCTTCTTCCCCAAAGCCCGCCCTCCTCAGGCTCCACCCCCCAAAGAACCCTAGGTATTTCCCAACTCGGAGGAGGCAACCCTATCTACCTCCTCCCATTCATGCCCCATCTGTAGTCTTCTCTCTCTAGTTTGGTATAGTGATTACGACTGTGGACTCTAATCTGGAAATACCGGGTTTGATTCCCCACTGCCCCACACGCAGCTGCTGGCATGACCTAGGGTCAGTCACAGTTCTCTCAGAGCTGTTCTCTCGAGGGCAGTCCTCGAAAGAGCTCTCTCAGCCCCACCGACCTCTCCGGGGAAAGGAGACTGTAAGCTGCTCTGAGACTCCTTCGGGTAGTGAAGGGCGGGGTATAACTCCAATCTCTTGAAAGTCTAATCCGTAGAATTGCTCATATGAAATTAGAAATGAGAATGAAAGGATTACATGTGGTGCCGTTTTAGGCCATCCTTGAAGCTGTTCTTCAAGACAGAAAGATTACAGCTCTTGATTACCGGCTCTAGTGACAGAAGGACCAGAAGAACTTCCCGGACAACCCCCGGAAGGATGGTGCCCAGCACAAATAACTTCGAAAGAGAGAAATGGAAAAGTCCATCCCAAACTTACCCATTTCTTCCAGGGACACTGGTGGCATCTGACCACAGAAGAACGGAAGAATACTAAAGTGCGATCCTTTTTATAGGGATGCCTTGTCAAGGACACGTACTATTAATGAGGCACCTGAAGGGAAAAGGAAATGCTTGGTGAGGAAGTCAGATGTGTTGACAGCAACTCATCTCCTCATTTGTCTCTTTGGACTCATCTTTGCCATAGAATCTTGTTCATTTGAAGGGATGTATGAGGGAGATTCAACATGCACTGGCCAGGAAGTATGCATTTTTTTCTGGTATGAATCATTCCAAGTGGATGTTCAGCTGCAAGAGATTCCTTTAAAAAAATGTCTAGGAATGGGAACATGGATTTTTCCACCACAGTCAAATTGAAATCTTTGGTTTTCTTTCTTTCTTTCTTTCTTTCTTTCTTTCTTTCTTTCTTTCTTTCTTTCTTTCTTTCTTTCTTTCTTTCTTTCTTTCTTTCTTTCTTTCTTTCTTTCTTTCTTAGATTTATATCCCGCCCTCCCCAAATGGGCTCAGGGCGGCTAACAAAAGAGGCAAATGCCATCACAAACAATTAAAAACAGCATAAAAACCATCATTCAACTAAGTGCGGTGCTCTTGATGTTAAGTCCTTCTTCAGAAATATCTCATCTGCCCCGTTGGTTGGGACACAGAATGTGATGGTCCTGTTAAATTCCGCACTTAGTCGTGTAATTGGAGGTGGTCAACAGGAATCTCCAGATTTAGGGTTTCCAGTTCCCTCCCCGAGCAGGGCCTCCAAGTCTCCAGGAATTTTGCAATCTGGAGTTGGTAATGGAAGGTCTACAGCAAGGTGGCGCTGAGTAAGAGACTCCTTCTAGATCAGACCAGAGGTCTACCTGAGGGGTCCACAACCTTTTTTGAGCCTGCAGGCACCTTTGGAATTCTCAGGTAGCATGGTGGGCGTGGCCACGAAATGGCTGCCACAGAAGGTGGAGCCAGACACAAAATGGCTGCCTCAGGAGGCGGAGCCAGATGCAGAATGGCTGCCGTAGCTTCCCTTCGGTCAAACAATGATGATCTTTGTGCTGGCTGGAAGCTGCTGCCAAATCAACAGTTTTTTTTAAAAGAATCTTTACAGCCAATTAAAACGCCTTGCTTGACAAATGCCCCACCTGCCCCTGCCCACTTTATAAGACATTTGGTGGGTGCTAGGAAAGGTGGTGGTGTGTGTCATGGAACCCATGGGCACTGTGTTCGGGACCCCGGTCTATGTAGTCCAGCATCCTGTTCTAGAGCCAGTTTGGTGTGAGAGCCAGTTTGATGTAGTGGTTAAGTGTGTGGACTCTAATCTGGGAGAACCGGATTTGATACCCTACTCCTCCACTTGCACCTGCTGGATGGCCTTGGGCAAGCCATAGTTCTGTCAGAGCTGTCCTTGAAAAAGTGCAGTTTCTGTCAGAGCTCTCTCAGCTCCACCTGCCTCACAGGGCGTCTGTTGTGGGGAGGGGAAGGGAAAGGAGTTTGTAAGCCACTCTGAGACTCTGAATGAAGGGCAGGGTATAAATCCAATCTCTTCTTCTTCATACTATAGGCCCCGGGTCGCCCTGGAGGGTTGATAAAAAACAGTGCATAGTGGGCTTGCCATAACCAATTATTCTGGTGGCAAGTGTGTGGGAAGGAGCTGTCTGGGAGTGTGTGTGGGGGCAGGACGACACTGCTGGCAGTGACATCATCATGCTGGGAACATCATGCGTTGACACTCTAGCATTTTGGCTGAAACTCTATGGTTACCATAGAGCTTTGAAACAAAATGCCAGAGTGTTGGTGCATGACGTCCCCAGCGTGATGATGTCACTTCCATGTGACATCATTTCACCAACCATGATGACATGCAAGAGGCCTCTTGGGGGGCAAGGTGTCCCCCGCCGGCCAGCCCTGGAGATCAGGGGTTCCTCTACCTGGATCGGGGGTCTGGCAACCCTAATCTGCAGTGTGATGTGACTGTGAAGAAAGCGAATGCAATCGTAGGATGCGTTAACAGAAGCACAGTGTCCAGAACACGGGAGGTGGTAGTTCTGCTCTATTCTGCTATGGTCAGGCCCCACCTGGAGTCCTGTGTCCAGTTTGGGGCACCACGTTTTAGGAAGGACGTTGACAAGCTCGAGCGTGTCCAGAAGAGGGCAACCGGGATGGTGAAAGGGTTGGAATCCAAGTCTTGCGAGGAAAGGCTGAAAGAGTTGGGTCTGTTTAGCCTGGGAAAGAGAAGGCTTAGAGGGGACATGAATTCCGTCTTCAACTATCTGAAGGGCTGTCATGTAGAAGATGGAGCAGATCTATTTTCTCTTGCTCCGGATTGCAAGACTCGATCGAATGGGTGGGAATACCAAGGGGTCGTTACCGGTTCAATATCAGGAGAACCTTCCTGACTGTGAGAGTGTTTGAGCAGTGGAACGGACTGCCTCGGGAGGTGGTGGATGTTCCTTCGCTGGACGTTTCCAAGCGGAGGCTGGACGACCCTCTTTTGGGTATGTTGTAGGGCTCTCTTTCGGCTGTGCGCCTGCAGAGCGCAGGGGGTTGGACTAGATGACCTGCAAGGTCCCTTCCAACTCTAACACTCTATGATTCTATGTAGGACTCTCTTTTAGCTATGCTCCTGCAGAGCTCAGGGGGTTGGACTAGATGACCTGCAAGGTCCCTTCCAGTTCTAACATTCTATGATTCTATTCTTTGATTCTGTGATTCTAATGCATAGCGGCCAAATCTTCCTCTGCCCTCCCCCGTTAGCATTTGGTCATTGGCATGACACCAAGCACATGACGTTTAACTGGCAAACTGGCTCCTGTCAGGAGGAATGAAGCGTTCCAGTTCAGCTGTCCGACTTTGGAAACCGGAGTGACGTCTTCTCTCAACATTCCTCCGTAACCATGTTTTAAAAGCTGGCCCTCGAGGGCTGCAGACACCGTGATGAAGCGTCGGGAGACAGGCAAGGGACATGACTTCTTTCTAGTTGCTTCCCATTGGCTGAGTCACTTGCATGAGCTCACAGATGCCCGTCATGGTTAGAGATTCCTTGATCCCTGCCCATCACCTTCTCCTTTAGACACACAGGCTGCCTTTTGTTCTATTAATAGGCTGGCTATTTTGGGGTGTGCCTCACGGAGACTGCGATGAGGTCAGGAGTGATGGCATGATAGGTAAAGAAAACAGCAATTACTTTTTAATAGGTGAGTCTGACTGTGCCGCAATTGGGAATTATTTTGGGGGGGTTTCAATCGGCTTGGCGAGTGCCTGTCTATGCCAGGAGATCATTTCAGCAATTGTTCTGAATGCACTGGGAACCACTGGGGAATGGACTGGCAAACTAGTAGAGAAGAAGAAGAAGAAGGGGAATGGACTGGCAAACTAGTAGAGAAGAAGAAGAAGAAGAAGAAGAAGAAGAAGAAGAAGAAGAAGAAGAAGAAGAAGAGATTGGATTTATACCCTGCCATTCACTTGGAGTCTCTAGGGAAACTCATGTCAGAAGAAGAAGAAGAGGAGGAGGAGGAAGAGGAGGAGATTGGATTTATACCCTACCCGTCACTACTGGAAGGAGTCACAGAGCGGCTTACAAACTCCTTTCCCTTCCCCTCCCCACAACAGACACCCTGTGAGGTAGGTGGGGCTGAGAGAGCTCGTTTGAGACCTGCCCTTGAGAGAACAGCTCTGACAAGACTGTGGCTTGCCCAAGGTCATCCAGCAGCTGCAAGTGGAGGAGTGGGGAATCAAACCTGTTTCTCCCAGATTAGAGTCCGCACACTTAACCACTACACCAAACTGACCGGTATGCCAGCACCAATTCTATTTGAAACTGGAAGTGACAAGAGACGGTCTGACCAGTGTTCCCGTTTTGTTGTTGTTGTTCAGTCGCCCGGTCGGGTCTGAGGCTGATTTCACACTAGAGCTGCCTCGATGTTGTGCCGCCGTTTGCCCCGATACTATTGGTCAATTTCACACCTGAAGCTGCGGGGCTGCATTTGACCCGTGGCTTTGCCCCATTTCCTCCTCATTTTTGTGATCCTCAAAAAACAGGATCACGAAACTGCGGGGGAAATCGGGCGAAGCCGTGAGTCAAAATGCAGCCCCGCAGTATCGGGTGTGAAATTGAGCAATAGTATCGGGGCAAACGGCGGCGCAACATCGAGGCAGCTCTAGTTCCAAGTGAAGTCCACATGTGAGAACTAGGGATACAATGAATATTGGTGGGAGGGTTGTTTGTTTGTTTGGAGGGAGATTTGGAAGGAAGCATCATATGGGAGATTAATCAGAGCCGAGGGTTATTAATGTTTTTTTTTAATTGGGCGTGGGGAAAAATACGTTTCAGGTCAGATTTTCAGGCCTGCTCAGGCCTGCTCTACGCTTGGTTTCTGTGAGGAAAGGGGGGGGGACATATTTCTCTGCTTAAAATTTCTCTTCTTCTTTCTCTGTCCCCGCCCAGGACACACTGAGCCATTAACTAAATTATGGCCCCGGTCACACGGGCCAGATAACGCGGGGGGGGGGAGGGGTGGCTGTTTGCCCCGGAGCAAAATAAAGCGTGGTCGCCTGATCACCCGGTCCCCCAAAACTTCGTGCTTAGGCTGTAAGCTGGCAATCACACGGCAATTCTGGAGCGTGGCAAAGAAGTGGCGCGGCAAATGTTTCGCGTTTGTGCGCATGCACAGTTCTGCAGAGCAGCACTGCTTTCAGTTACGTGTTTGTGTGCATGCGCTTATGAAAAATGTCTGGTTTGTGACAGGATGTGGACATGTGCCAGATGCCACGGGATACTAGTGCTTCGGCGATCAGACACCCGCCCCTGCCCCTCATTTTCTGGATACTACTGCACTTTCCAAGGTAGTTGTTTTACTGCGCATCTTCGGTGGGATGCCACGGATCGGCTTCGGGTTCACTACACTTCCCAGATGTTGCAGTGTGATCGTGCACCGAAAATCCGCCTGACATTCGTATCTTTAGTGCAGCAACTTCTCCGTGTGAATGGGGCCTATATGTAATTGGATTAACTTTAATCCAATCAGAGGTAATTTCGTAAAAAAATAGGTGCAGGAGCTCA